CAAACCGTTTCGCAGAATAACTTTGACATTTATGTCTCTTTTTTTCTCCCATTTGCTGATATTTACTAAATACGACTTCCTATTATATTCCATATGATTATTTTTATTTATTTTTTTTATTTTATTTTTTCACTTTTCATTATTATTATTTCAACGTTGCATATAGAATTTTTGACACGCGGATGACAGCAGATATATTATGTATACATAGTTTGAATTCACAATTGTACAAACAATCGAAAATTGAAATGTAATCCGGTTACAAATACAATATACTCACATAACACATGATAGTCGCTTTACAATCGATACATTTCAACATTGGTATAATGCCAGGATTTTTATTATTTGTAAATAGCATCGATTCTTGGATTATTGTTCTGCTGGTTTGGATTTTTTTTTCCATCGATACATGTGTAACAGATTAACGAGCACGTCAACTCGCATATTTTCATCCAGTCGACCGGAAATTTTATTTTTGCTAGACAATCTTGTACAATGACGCACTGCACACTTCATTTAAATGCAAAGGGTCTCGTTATCTAAGTATTACAATCGTCAATTCGATTTTGAGGTGCAATGATTTTAAGTTGATAAGATTTGTGTTGCGCGAAACGTGTAATACTCGCGTATTATTATTAATTTGAAAAGTTATTTTTCAATATAAACTTTCGCTTTTAATTTAAAAATTCGATACACGATATGGTTTATTTTCAACGAAACAATAAAATTTACCAAGTCTTTTTCATAGACGTAGACTAACGTTATCGTAGAACTTTAACACCAACATTACAAAACGAGTTTTTCTTTTTTTTTTTTTTTAACGGAGCATCTATGACTCAGATTGTTGTGTATGAGAAGAAGGTATTTCTTAGTTACTTGACAAATGTAAAAATTCAACAAACCCTAACTTTGAATACCAACACATTCGATTTGAAAAAATACACCACGTACGATGATAAAACGATTATTGTCCAACAATTGAACATCAAATCTAATGTATTATAGCTGCATACCATAATTATTGAAAAAATGTGTGGATGTACCTTCTTCATTTATTAATTATGATAAAATTCAAACAAGATACATAATGAAAATTGGTGCCATTAGAATTAGATTGAAAAGGCTTTTCGTTGACGCATCAAAACAACGCAAGGATTTCGTCGAATAGAATACACGATTATAGAATTTATAATCAATAATGCGAAGAGCGACGTCGCCAGCCTCGTCCTTCTCTCTTTCGCAAGTCTAACGGTAAATATTATCTTGCAATGACATTATTATTATAATATTAATCCTTTATATTTGATTCTCTTCGTGTACGTCCCGATTTTTTTTTTTTTTTTTTTTTACTCTGTATATTATATTCCTTTACTTACTCTTGTTTGCTTAAAGTACTTTATTTATTTATTGATTTTTATTCAATTATCTGTTTTTTTTTTTTAATACATACGCATCGCGATCAGTCATCTCAATCCACGAGGGTTTACATCCACATACTGTTTATATATGTATTTTTCACTTTAAAGCTTTTCCTCTCACATTTAAATGCTTAACGTTTTTTCGATTTCTACGTCGCTTTACCCCTCCCACCTAATCATACTTAAGATACATATCCTCACGTTACGACTAAAAGTTGAAATTATTGTTACTTATTTTCTCAACATATCAATTTTTTTTGTTTCTCTCAAACAATCGTAACTGCGTCAAACTTTAAGATATGATTATTGTTTGTGTCATCAGGATTTGAGGCATCTCAAGGCACGCCCATCTCCCTTGCGTTATAATTCATTATTATAAGTTTTTTTTTCGTCTTCAATATTTTTTTTTTTTTTTTTTTGTTAATAACAATACTCTTTTACTATACTTGATCATCTCCCGTCTGGCTATTCGGTCACTAAGTCGATCGCTTGTACTTTCCACTATCGTACCGTCACATTCGGTCGATTTCGTTTTTTTCCAATCACATTACGATCTGTATACTCCTCAAAGCGATTTTTTAATAAATCTACACGTCTACAGTACATTTTTTCTTCAACTATTGATGAATTATTTTCACCCAATCACGTGTGTGGTGATTCCTAAACGTTGCTTAGTCAATCGGTATTGTGTAGTCAGTCCGTACAAGTAACGTATAAAACAATGGAGTCGCGAGTCGTCGATATTAATTTATTATTATCATGATTTTTTTTTCTCATTACACTACTATTTTATTGTAATAATCGTTTCCAGGAATGAGTCGCGCACACGTCCGCTCTCGTCAAGATGATAATGCCATCAAGCTTTCGTTTGGAAAACAAAGGGGTGACAAGGGAAAAGGGAATGTGATCCGCTGCCCCTTTTCGCCCTTATCACGTGCCCCTTAAATTACTCATGCGCGCAATTATTTATACACGTATTTTCTTTTACCATATACGTTTCATATTATGTGAACTATCTAATGATATTGAAGAAACGAAACGGCCCCACGATTAAGATCTCGTTTGCTTCTGTTTTGTCCGATGATTAAGTGTCGGCGCATTGCACATTTTTTGTATCGTCTTTTTTTTTTTTGGATACTGAGCACTTTAGCGTATACACGAATTTTGCTTGACCTAGTCAGTTTGTAAAATCGTTTTCTACTTTTTTTTTTTTTTAATTAGTTTGATTCACTTTGGAAAAAATCTCAGTCGACGAACGTGCAAAGACGTGCACACACTTGATCAAACTCTTTTTTTTCTTTCAATCAACGCTCGATGTATACGCGTTATTTTTATCATTATTTTATTTATTTATTAATTTTTTTATTCATACTGTTTGTTTTTAATTTATAGCATCACATCGGCAGTTATAGCAGCAGCATATCAGTGGGATAAAATATTCGTTTGTCGGTGCGTAAATGTATTTACATGCACATTAATTATCTAGAAGTTTACGATCCAGCCCTCCGTAAATATTTTTTTGGTCGAGAGAACACCGTTTGTAAATTAAAAATTAATTACCCATCGATGATCGTCCTCGAGGTGCGAAATTTTCTAATATTTACTATCCAACAGTACACACCTGACGATCGTCACAACCACCTGTATTAAGATTTGATACGCATGGGGTGGCGCCACCAAACGACAAATTTAATGTACATAGTAATACTTTACACACGGGCATGCAGTAGTTCCACAATTTGCCGTCGCCCATGTAAGACTCCAACATACTTTGCTCCAGTCGTTCATTCAGGTTCTCCCCCGACAACTTTTTCATATGCATATTTACTTCACGCAACACACGCACACGCGGCACCCAATAGCCCATTTCTATGTGGCATCTATTATCTCCCGGAGCCACGACAAACGCGACCGGGACATCCACGATATGTCTCCGAGAAGTTACAATAGTAGTTATAGCAGTAGCAGTAGAAGTAAAAATGTAAGTAGTAGCAGTAGTGATAGCAGGGATATTTGCAGTAATAGTAATAGTTGTGACAGTAGTAGCGGTAAACGGAGTAGTAATAGTAACGGTGGTACTGTGCAATGTGTACAACGATACGATTAATACTGATTGGCAAAGCTTCGATTAACCCGGCCATCGTCCGCCACGCGCACGTCGTGAGTCCCGTTTCCACCCCCGTTTTTTCGGATCGCCTTTTGGGACCACTGTTGATCTTGGTGCCGGTCATTAGCGATGGCAGCGGTAGTAACAGTCCGGCGATCGGGCCCAGCTTACGCGAGCCATCACTAGGGGCTCGCACTCACTTGCCTAGCCCGAACTTCATGAATATGAGCTCCTTGCCCTTGGACAGTATGTCCCCACCGGCGCTCGCCCCAGTCATCTCCGTGAACTTGGACATGAGGTTAGCCCCAGCGCCCGCTTGTTGCTGCTGCTGCTGCTGTTGTTGCTGCTGTTGTTGCTGCGACATTGGGGGCTGTGGCTGGGTAACCGTCGGTATCACGGTAGGTACGCCCCGCATGGGCCTACTGCTCTGCGGGCCTGACATCATGCCCCCTGGGCCTTGGGGTCCCCCCATTTGTTGGCCCTGGGGGCCCTGTTGTTGGGGGCCCTGGGGCCCGAACTGTTGCTGATGGCCCTGCGGGCCTTGGAGTCCAAATTGTTGCTGCTGCTGGCCCTGGGGCCCGTACTGGAGCTGCTGGCCTTGTGGACCAAACTGCTGGGGGCCTTGGGGCCCAAACTGTTGGTGCTGCGACTGTTGCTGCTGGCCCTGGGGCCCGAAACCACCCGGGCCCTGTTGTTGCTGCTGGTAGCCTCCTGGGCCCATTTGACCAGGCCCCATTTGGCTCGGCTGGCCCGGTTGGCCAGGCTGCATTTGGCCTGACATACCCGGGCCCCTCGGCATGTTACTACCACCGGCTTGATTGACCACGCCTCTCCCCCTCCCCTGAAAAACGTGGGACCCAATAAGTTAGATCTGTTTTTGTTTTTGGATTCTCCTTATTATTGTTATTATTCTATCAAAAAATTTTTTTTTAAATCGTTGGCAAGAGGTTGACTTGAAAGGGTTATCGTGGGGCAGAGACAATTGTTCTGATGAATGTCCCGTGGACAATGAGGGTCATTGACGGATACGTTGTGTAACTACAGCCTACTAAATGAAGATTAACACTTTCGTTTGGTTGTCTGCTTTTTTTGGATTTCTGGAAATACATGGTAAAACGTTATGGTGATTTTATTTTTGGCAATTGTTTACACAAAATGAGCTATTGATGTTTGGGTAACTATATGTATCCATGGTAAAAATGGTCTTGTTCAGGTATGTGTGATTGTGACAATCAAAAACGTTCTTTTTTCGAAAGCTTAATGATTTTTTGAAAACCTTTATCGTTCTTCGAACTATTCTAAATATACTTGTTTGCTGTTGATGCAGTATTTTTAGTGTGATTATAATAAATTATCATTACAGCATTACAGCAAGAAAACGTTTATTTGTGGATTGCGTAAAAGTGTCAGCATTTTTTTTTCACAAGAAAGCAAGTAACAAAGTTTTTTTTTCGTAATTGTATGCAAAAAGTTAAGCGGTATTTACATAGAATCATTGAAAAATGTTACAGCATTAGAGTTAACATTTTTCTAAATGTTGGCATTATCAATCAACAGTATCATAACATTTTAGTTTTGAAAATCACATCAAAACAATTAAACGAAATTGATTTTTTAAAATGATTTATCATGAAAGGATAACCTTATGTACGATTAGAATCAATCGTGTCAAATAAAAAAAAAAAAAAAAAAAAAAACATCATTTAGCAAAAAGCGACATAGACATCAAGCAAAATAATAAAAATGTGCTTTATTTCAATCATACCCACAAACAATAAAAGTACAAACACAGACAAGATAAATCAATATCGACATGATGGAAATAGACTGAAAATTATGTCACATGCAGATGTACGCTCTTTACAAACTGAAGTTCAAATTTTGGTGGATGAAAAATGAGTGTCCGAGCCATTTAGTAATGTGAACATCAGCACTTTTATATACTTCATACCCGTAACTTATTATTTTTGTCATTTCACTTGTTATGTTGAAGATAACAAGTGAAAATTTTGAATAATTCTCCACTTATTGAAGTTCACGTCATTGGTATGAAGTATATTTTTTCACCTCTCGTTTGATGAGTTTTTTATACGTAAACATGGCATTACATTTGAAAAAGTCACCACAAGTACATGATCATTAAATGAATTCTATTTTCGTGAAGTATGGAGGAAAAATCGAAACAGGAGAGGAAGAAGAAATAAAAAGAAAGAGGTTTCAGGTCAATTAAGTGCACTCACCTGCTGTTGCATGTGGGGCGGCATTTGGCCGGACTGAAGGGGATTATGGGGACTCATCCCTGGACCCATGCCTGGCCCAAGTTGGTTGGGGCCTAGGCCGCTAGTGTAGCTGTGGTGATTCGCTTGTTGGTACGCTAGATGCGGTCGATTGTATTGTTGTAGTTGATGTGGTTGTTGTTGCTTGTTCATTAGTGGTGGTGGTTGTTGTAGTTGTTGTCTAGAGTCTAAGTGACAGACAGGGACAGACACAGGCACAATGCAGGCATCTAGCAACAGAGAAGAGAACAGAACCGTGTTGTCATACAAAAGCCCTCCCTCCCCTCTTCTTTCGCGGCTAAGTTCGCCCACCCTTCTTCCCTTAAACTGTTTTTTTCATCCACATTCTTGTGCCTGTTGATTCTTCGTCAATTACATTAACTTAAATCGAACATTACACTCCAAGCGTATGCTTCTCCTTTACTATACTTTCTGTTATTCATCGAGTACTTTACCGATTCTTTTATGACCCATGAATATTGGACGTTTAGTTACATTTCTAAGCTGTGCTAGTCACATTGTCATGGTTGCCTCTAATCCACAGTTCTGTGATATAGCGTTCTGACTTATCTCCATAAGTTTTTAATGTTTGCCAAAATCAAAATATTGCACTTGAAATGTACAAGTTTTATTACTTAAACCTGATTTTAAAATGCATGTTAGAGATGTACCGAGTCGAGTAAGCTTTGAAAACCAACTGATATGCATTTAATAGCTTCAAGAGAGTCATACGTTTGGTGCACTCTTATTCCATTTGTCAAGATTGCGTTTATTATCATACATAAAGTGAAGAAAAATCAATGTACGAAGAATTCCTTGGATGAAGTATCTAACTTTAATGTCAAAAATAGTAACAGTTTTTGATGTAGAAAAAAAAGAATAGCCATAGTAATTTATTTATGGATGGCCAGCATGACAACACGACACGTACGACAATCATGTGACACGAAGACCATCGACCAGTTCAGGCACACAGAGACGACAAATCATGTCCGTATATATATAGAGAGAGTAAATAGTAAGTATAATAGTATATATAGTATACACAAATCACTGTATAGTATTGTTTTATTATACATGATACGAAGAATCTACGATGTCAAGATAACGTACATGGCACACAATTACTAGGTCTAACCCTTGATCTCTTTGGTAGTAATTAAATTGGTAATTTATAAAGATTGTTGGTTTGATTAGTTTAGTATACATATCATCAATTTTACATTATTTTGTTAATTTTCAGAGCTCCAAACTTAAGAATTTTCTTAAATCAGTTCACACAAAAGCTTTACTGTAATAGCAAGGAGCTTTAACCATGACAATAATAAAGAATTGACTTAACACGACACTACTCCAATGTCTTTCTTGGTTACTTGAATGCAAAATACGTATCAAAAAACCACACAAGTATAGCGCAATATATCATTCAGTGAGATAATTCCCTAGGTAAATAGTATACTGCAATTCTTTCAAAGATCTACTAAAAATCCTCTTGGTAATTGTAAGTGGATTTTATGGAGATTCTAAATGGATTCTAAGTAGAATCGTCCTAGATTTTCGTAAATTATAAGGAAATTCGTAGAGATCTTATAAACCAATAGTCATGTGGTTTTAATTCTTTACTCACATACAATAGCCGGTATTAAATAACATACCCAGTAATACGTGGGGTTACTGTTTAAGGTACCTAACTCATACGCTATACAGCTATTTTCATGAAGGGTATTGGTCACTGCAATAAATTTATAAGTATTATAAGATCTTTGTGCCATAAATGACAGGGCTGCCCGTTTAGGAATCAATTTGCTTTGTTAGTCGTAATTCTATATTGAAGTACAGAGTATTCCAAGCTTAATTCCGAATTTAACTTCAAAGTAATCCATGTATCATTTCTGGTTTCGTATTGTGGTACGGAGCACTTCAAACATAATTAAAGTTGGATTCAACATTAATTTTTTCTTTGCTTCAAGTTTCAAGTTCTATCAAAGATGCAAATTTTTAAGATTGTAGCTTAATTCCTAATTCCTTTATGGACTATGAAGCACTAAAACCTTAATTCCAGATTAAGTATAACTCCGTATTCCAAACTAGTTTGGAATATCAAGCTATTCTAGATTGAATTCCTAAAAGGAACTTACTTCCTGCAATGCTGGTCAATCACTTTCTGAATTAACAAAACAATACATTACTTATGTCATGAAATTTCACATTAAACTTTCTCCGACCTCAGTTCCTACTTCAAAACTTTATGTAAAATTTCACGAGGGTTTTTATTGTGGAGTTAAGCAGCTAGTATTAACAGTGATTTGGAAAAGTTATTTCTTTCATGATTTATCGATTTCCACAAGAAAAAAGTTTGACTACTCTTGAAACAACACCTACAACTTTCTCAACTATTCCAGCTTTTAAACTTTGTTTACATATATATACACTGGCTAACCCTTTTTCAAGATCCAATAGAATATCACTAAGTTGTTAAACCTTGGGACCCAGTGCACCACTGTACATTATCTTTTTGCCATAGATTCTTCATAAAAAGGCATGGAAAGTTTAGTAATGATCAGTAAAAAAAATAACATATGCATGGTTAGGATAAAAACTGTTTGATTGCTAAATATATAAAACACAGTGTATGTATATATATATTCATACTTGGACGTTTATAAAGGCACGCATTTTATACATAATATATATA